GTTGGAGAAGTTTTTGGATATGCATAGGGATTTGATTCTTAGAAGGTCCCATTCATTGATTTTATCTTCTCCTGGTTGTAGATTAAAGTTAACACCTTTAAGTAGTAAGTTCTAAGCATTTATTTGAATAGCTCTAACCAGCTACTCCAAAGGAGAAACATGGGCAGTCTCCTTCCATGCAATTTGCAGCCTCCAAAAACCCACTGGAGTGTCAGCTATGAGTCACTGACTTTGACTTTTGAAATTTACTGAGGCGTTCTGGTGGTGTACTCAATAGCATGTTTCTCTGATTCTAATCCATCGCAGGAAAAAGATGGAAAGTCTCTTCCTGTTGTAATTTCTAGACCCCCTGGAGGGTCACTATGAGTCAGTTGGGACTGACTCGAAGACAGTTTGAGGTTTTTAAAAAATTTCCTAGAAAAGACAACCTTGACACAATTTGTTTGCCAATAAGTTTACTAAACAAGATAACAAACCTCTTCAACTGGAAGAGGTCCTTATTTTTCCCATTCCCCAAAACAATGATCCAACAGAATGTAGGAATTATTGAACAATATCAGTAATATCATATGTGTCAAGTCTTGGTGAAGATTATTCAAAAAAGCACTAGAACTACTACTATTCATTGACAGAATTCCAGAAGTTCAGTTTCCATTTGGAAGAAGCCGTGGAATGAGCAATATAATTTCTGATGTAAGATGGATCTTGGCTGAAAGGAAAGAGTACCAGAAAGATGTCCCATGGTTTTATCAACTATGCAAAGGCATTTGACTGTGTAGATCACAACAGACTGTGGCCCACATTGGGAATATTGGGGATTCCGAAACACTTAATCATGCTACTCATACAAAGCATATACCTTAGACCAAGAAACTGTTGTCCAGAGCAAGGGAACATTGCATGGTTCATTATCAAGAACGGTGTGTGTCAGGGATATATCCCCTGTCCACCTGTTCAATCTATATGCTGAACATATCAGTTGAGAAGCTGGACTTTATGAAGAAGAGGATTGGAGGAAGACTGTCAACAACCTGCATTATGCAGATAACACTGTCTTACTGAAAGTGAACAGGACTTGAATTGCTGCAGAAGACCAAGGACTACAAACTTTAATATGGGCTGCGTTCTCAAAAATCCTCATCACCAGACCCATGGACAGCATCATGATAGATAGAGAAAGGATTGAAGTTGTCAATGATTTCATCTTACTTGGCTCCACAATAGCACCGTTGGTACCAGAAGTTAGGAAATCAAAAGACAGATTGCATTTGGAAGATCTCCTGTCCAGGCTGAAGTCACACAAACCTTAATAACTAATAACAATGGGGGGAAAATCATCTGGCAAGGACTTCTTCAGAGTACTAAAAAAGCAATGATACCAGTCTAAAGACTAGTATCACGGGTGCCTGATCCAAGCCATGGACTTTTCAGTTATTTGGTATGCATCTGAAATTTGGACAATGAATAAGGATGACAGAAGAATTGATGCCTTTGAGTTGTGGT